TGTAGAGGGGGATCCTTAGCTGCCCCCTGCACCTCAAAGTGTACACCTCAAAGTACATAACATAAAATATCCACGGCAAATGGTAACAAAATCAGTATAAAAAATGATAAAGATAAAAAAATAAATAAAGTGCCATTTTAAAAATAACAAATAAGACTGAAGTGTTAATTTTTTTTTTGAGCTCAGAGAGTTTGTCCTCAATTTGTCCATTTACTCCCTTCAACTCCTCCTGCTTCTCTTTGGCCCGTATTCTCATTGTGTTAGACTTTGTAATCAGCGTGGCCATTTTTGACCCTACAGAATTTTCTGCCTGTTCTGCCATTCGGTCTGCGTCACTTTCAAGTGACTTACACACCTCCTCAATGGACCTCTTCTTTTTCTTCAGCCCTTCCAGATCATCTTCAATGTTTTTCCTCTTCTTGGACTGTTCCTCTTTTTCCTTTTTACGTCTTTCCTCCTCCAAGTGCTCCCTGTAGCGACTGTGTGTTGAAGCACAGTAACTGATGAGCTCATTGGTCAGAGGCACTTTCGCCACACTCGAAATCACTCTCAATGGAAGAGGTTCCAGATGGATGTGAGTGAAGCTAGGCAGAGCGAAATTCATCTGGCTATAGGGCCAGGTTAGATCACTGTGTCCTCTGCCATATTAAACGTTTCCACCTCTTTATTGGTGGAAAAACCCCGCTCAACTTCTGCCTGTCCATGGGACAGAAGAAGAAGTGACTGACAAAATGTCCAGAGTTCAGGGTAGGACTGAAGATATTGCTGCAAAAATATCCACTCTTCTCCAAGGGCCCGAAGGACATGAATTCCACAGCTTTGGCCTAATTGAAAAGGACCTTTTCAAATCACTGTGCAATCACATCACCTGTAATAATGCACAAAATAATATTTTCAGTACATTTGAAAAAAAGTATATGATAAACAGCATCACAAAATTTAAAGGCAAAGTTACTTTCTTGTAAATAACATGCAACTTAACTGTGTATCAGAAATTAGCTATAATTTGAAGTCAGTGTACAGCATATCAAGTATCTCTGATCACTGAAATCACAACATAAATATATTGACCTACACCCTTTCAATCCATGTACTAGTGTGTTAATGTTCATACCATTCATGATGTTGATACAAATGAGAGGAGGTGTCATATTAAGATAATAATCTATTCCATTCTAATCTTATTCCTATCATTTACCAGCAGATATCCCGCCTGACAGTTGTTTGTCTTGCACAAACTTCTGAATGAGGCACTTCATTTTCTGAAGGCACTCTTCAGGGTTGGTGCACATTTTGCCTGGATCCAAGCACGTCATGTTGTGGACTATGGCCTACTTCAGGGGGCACTTATCAAGTGCCTTCTTGCACATACTTGAAAGTGCATTCTGGCAGTCTTTCTTAAACTGCAGGACACCAAGCTCACTTACACAGCTTTTGGCCCCTGCTTTTGTGAGTTCCTAGACAAAGAAAAATGGTTTGTCAAATCTCTAAGATTTCTCTAGATGCTCAGCAGGAAGTTAGCATGAAGGCAGCTGTCCAGATTAAACCATTTGCAAGACATTCTAAACACAGCTCTAAAACATTCTCAATTAGCCTGCCATCTTTGACTTGACCTCACATTTCCCTGTCATACATCTGAAGATAAGTCATTAGTGAATTTCTCGGAATGGTTAATTTACTGAATATACTGGATGTGCCACCTTGATGACAGCTGCTGCACCCATGCCTATATCGACGTCCTTTGGACTAAGCCAAAGCTTCTGGTCAGTGACTTCAAGCCTCACCAGCTTATATGGGGTACTAGGCAGTGTATCACGCTTCATAAATCGTTTGAGAAGACTCTAAAAATAAAAGTTAAAGTTAAACCTGTCCTGTGTCCTGGCCATTTAAGTGTGTTGAGTATTTTTACGATGAATAATTACCCTGATCAAATCCTCCAGATCTTTCCACAAAAAAAGGTATCATTGGAGCATCTGGTATTTCTCCAGAAAAGGTTGGAAAGCTCTTGATATATAGCCATGAAAAAATGGAGCTTGGCCTGCAGAAGGGGATCCAGTCGAGCCTCAGAGAGGGTGTCATATGATGATGTCCCTGGGTTCTTCACCTTCTTTTTCTTCACCTGGTCCACAAACTTCTCAATGGAGGGCCAAATCTCTAAGGCTCTTTGCACAGTTGGCAAGTTCTCAAGCCACCGATGACCACAGAAGGGTAAGGGGAATGTTGTTGATGACGTTGATGATGTGAAATCCTCTCTCCTAGAGAGTGCAGAGATTTAAGCACCTTCTGTATCTGCCACACCACAAATCCACTCTTGAAAGCATTATGGAGGTGTTGTGGCTTTTCCTGTCCAACAAACATAATCACTGAGTAAGAGACACTCTGAGTCCAATTTAATAGTTTATAAAGTATTTATTATCTTGCAAGAGAGATCCTCGTCACCAATACACATTCGTGAGTCAGTGAGGAGAGATAAAGAGAAGCAGTGTCTGTCTTTTTTATATCTTGTGTCCTCCAAGGCCTTATTTCTGCCCTCCCCTCACAGGAGAGATATACTTTGTTTTTTTCTATTTCTCCCTGGCCCTGAGAGGTAAATGCCCCCTTAACCCTTTAGGCTATAACGTACAAATGCACTCAAGATGACCCCTTGACCACCTGCTTTTCCTTACCTCCACTGACTCCCAACCACAGTAAATTATCACCCAAAGGCCCCATATCACTACATTCGTGAGAACAGATGAGGCCATCATTAGGAATCACTGAAATCAGAGTAATAATAGAAAAAATCCATAACAGAGGGTATACCCCTGGTTTATATCAGAATAGTCCTGGTTTACTTCCAGGGCAAGTGTTATTTTCCATTAATCCACTAGATGTCACACTTACCCACCATCACAGATTCAGATTATTTTATTTAATGCCGTCAGCATTCAAAGCCATTTTCATGGCAAAAATTAAATTACAAAAATACAAATATCATATAAATACAATAAAACCAAAACAAACAAAAACAGCAAGTCATATTATACAAGATTTTTTGAATTAACATATGATAAAAAATCCAAAACCTTCAGGGATAATTGTTAAATATGACCTACCATCACAAATTCATTGCAAGGAAAATGCTTGATTACAGTGGGATTTTCTTTTTTTTTCTACACCAAGAATGAATTCAAGACAAACATTCAGTAGCAACGAGCATGAAAATTATAGAAAAATAGAATATACCTTAAAATGTTCCAACAAATCCTCTGCTGTGAATTGGGACCCAAAATAACGGGATTGAACGTGATGAGTGCCAGTCTGGTCAGTTGCCCAGTATCTGACATGCAGGTCCAACTGTTTACTCTTTGTTGCTCTGTTCATGCTTTCGTCAAACATGACGACAGTTTCCCTGGTTAATCCGTGCCACAAGCTCCTTTTCACATATGGGGCAATGCCAAATCGCGCAAGATAATCGCGCAATGCCGTCTTGTCTCTGCCACAACTGTAAACGCGCTCGAGTCCGGGAACATCGCCTGAAAGACGGTGTGAATTTAATTAGCCTGCCCTAAAGGTTTTAATAATTGTGAGGAAGTCTAAAATGTACATCTAACTCATGCAATTACTGAATAATAACCCCATGGATTACATATTTTAAAATAAGCAAATAATTATTTTACATATTAAAATAAAATTCTAACTATAATTTTTTCTTTTTAATTAAAAATAAAAACATTTTTTTTTTCACTCCACAGATCTAAAAACATTAATGTGTCCACAAAACCCTTATTAGAAAATAGACTAAAAAACTTTTGACATTACAAATAGCTACGTCATAGGTCACTATTTTCCAGAGACACAAAAATCAATAAACCTCAAAACTGTTGACTAAATCTCATGTTGATATTTAGATTAAATTGCTAAATGAAGAGCACCATTCATTAAAGGGATAGTTCACTTTGAAATTCATTTTTGGTATGTTTTAGCTTACCTCAAGGGCATCCAAGATGTAGGTGTCTTTGTTTCCTCAGTAGTTTCAATTTTGATATTTTTAGGTCAAACCGTTCTTGTCTGTCAGTCATATAATGCAGGTCTATGGTCACCACCTCAAAGAGCATGGAAGTCCAAATTAAACATGATTTAATAACTTGTAAATGTAAGTACACATTGATGGCCTAAGACACAAAACGAGCGGTTTGTGTGAGAAAACAAACAGTATTTATATCATTTTTACCTCTTGTAACGCACAGACCGAAGCGCCCGCGGCCTCAGATCACTTGGACGTGGCTGTGGTTGCAAGAGGTAAAAACGATATAAATACTGTTCGTTTTCTCACACAAACCGCTCGTTTTGTGTCTTAGGCCATCAATGTGTACTTACATTTACGAGTCATTAAATCATGTTTAATTTGGACTTCTCTGTGCATGCTCTTTGAGGTGGTGACCATAGACCTGCATTATATGACTGACAGACAAGAACGGTTTGACCTAAAAATATCAATATATTTGAAACTACTGCAGAAACAAAGACACCTACATCTTGGATGCCCTTGAGGTAAGCTAAAACATATCAAAAATTAAATTCAAAGAGAACTATCCCTTTAATATCTATGGTCAATGGAGAAAAAAGGTGGGGGGTGGATGGGTGTTAGCCTAATCTTATCCCGTCTTACTCTATAATTTATTATCATCACCCAACAACTCAAAAGCAAAAAGAGAGCACAAAGAATACAGACATGAAGAAGACTGACAAAGAAAACTGTTTTTGTTTCAACAGTTTAAAAGTTTTAAAATGTCCCCCTTTCAATTCATGTGAATACTTTGATTCAAAGAAAAAGCAGCAGTCACAACAACAGAAGATCTAACACACGCACCCAAACAAAAACATTTGACACAGCACTACACTAGAGGTGGTCGATTTAGTAGGGTTCTGCCTCTTTAAAAACAAAACAAACAAACACAAAGCGTCGGAATATCGGTCACGTGTCAGTCTGCGGTGCGCGTGCCTTCAGACATTTTGTGCGTCGCGTGCGTGCGCGCCCACGTCCAGTTTGGGTAAAAGTATCTGAGCTTGAATGATCACAATACACTATAGGAATTAATTGCTATTCCCTCAATGAATTTGCTAAGGTAAATCTATATGTCACACGTATAGCGGACGCCAGAAAGCAACTGTCACTCTTCGAGTCGTTTTAACAAAGATAAAAACTGGCTTGTCATTTTTTTCTCTTTTTTTTTGCACATAGTTTTATCCCCTCGGAACGGTTTAGCTAGTCAGCTGGTAACGTTACAGCATTAGCTGCTAGCTGTTTGGCCAATTCTTCTGTGCTAACTGGACAATGAGAGGTTTGACTCGGAGTTTCATCTTTAAAATATTGAAGTGTAATATTAATGCTCAAGGGTTGTGTAGTTATTCAAGGAAAAATCTTGACAATTATATTCGGGCAGCAGAAAATTTGAGAAGAAGCTCGTTAGCCAATACCTAGCATTAGCGAGCTATGATAATCCAGGTAAAAGAGTTATTTACCCTCTTATTGTATTGGATTTTTTTGCACTTGTAAATTTGTATCTAGGTCTTTTAGAGGGTTCTGTTTTCCGTATAGGTTAACCATTTTTTTAACATAGCGATTTAATTTGTGCGCCAGGGTATCATAAGTGGACTATAGTAAGTTAGTATAGTAGCTGGATAGCTCAGTTAGCTACTGTCCAGCCAGAAACACTTTGATTATATATATTTGCTTGATTTCTGTTGTTTGCATGTGATGCTATTTCGTGAACGTTAAGTGTGCAAACGTTTGAAAAATATCCCTAATATGAGTTCCAGAATGCAGTAGGGCAATCAAAGGCCTGGTTTAGGGCACATTTTGCCAGCTGGTAAAATAGTTGAGCATGTTTTCTTTAATCAGCTTACGTGAAACCGTGCAGTTTATTGATACATCTACAAATACTACCAATGCAATACATGATTTAGGAGTGAAAGATTTGCCTTTTTTGATTTAAAGTTAGTGTAAAGAAAATGTGTCAAGCATTTGTCCATGCAATATAGTTCAGCTGATTGTACATAGACTCATAGATCATTTCTTTACATTCACATGTCCGTCCACAGGACGAAAGAGCATTTGTGTCTTGAGGAAGATCTGGTAAGAGTACACTCAAAATGAGCAAGAAACCTCCAAATCGACCAGGGATCTCTTATGAGGTTGGTGCCAGGGTTGAGGCCCAGGACTATCTGCAAAAATGGTATGAATTCATTTGGAAGATTTGTTTAAAAATGTGATACAATAACTGCTGCTAGCATATTGTTTATGTTAGAACATATTTTTTCAAACTGGGGTCTGGGGACTCGGCTGTGGCTGAAATAAATAAAATAAATGAGTGAATAATAATTAAAATAAGTAAATAAGTTATTTAAAAAATAAATAGCTCTAAATGTCTAGAACTAAAAAAACAATAGCAGTAATATTAACAAAATATTTTCCAGATTATATTTTTAAACATTTATAATATAAATATAAATGTTATAAATGTCTTTATACAAGAAACTATATTAGTATGGGTTAAGGGGCGTCTAAAAGATTAAAAACCCTTGTGTAAGAGCAGTGTTACGGTTTTTAAATACTTGCATGATTAATATTTTTGTTTCATTTAAAACAAATAAGAGTATAAAGAAATTCTTTGTTTAGGACTAGTTTGTTTCCATTTTCAAGAGTACTTGAATGGACGGTTATTAAAGCTTTAGTTATTTGCAGTGCTTTTTGTTGTTTTTCAAGTTATCCATCAATGATCTGATCTTTGTTGAATGGTGTCTTCGCAGGTACCCTTCACGTATCGAGAAGATTGATTATGATGAGGGAAAGATGCTTGTGCATTTTGACCGTTGGAGCCATAGGTACGACGAATGGATTCTCTGGGACAGCAACAGACTTCGGCCATTAGAGAGACCGGCACTCCGCAAAGAGGGTCTAAAAGAAGAGGAGGTGTCTGTATGTTTGCAGTACTTCCTCTTGTCAGATATATTTATGGTCTGAACTGTCTAGGATGACTTGGCAAGCATGAGAAATACAGGGTCCTTTGTGGGCTGTTAGAGTATGTCTTCATAGTGCCAAATTAAGTTTTTCAGCTGCTAAACTTAACATTATTGAAGTTTTCAGCCACTCATTTGTTAATGAGATGAGTGATTGATTAATTCTTGTCTTACAAACATTTCTGCCAGGAGAGTTTCAGCGAGATGAGAGCATCTCGCCTTCGTGAGCTTCCTGGAAGTACAGAGAGCACAGAGGACCAAAAAGACTTACCTCAGCAGAGACAAGTACATACCTCAATTGCCCATCTACCTTGATCTGGCTCTCTCAACTGCTTGTCCCATCATTGTTTGGGTTTTTCCTCCATCTACATGGCCAAAACCTTTTAATGTTTTGTTGGTCCACAAACAATCATCCATTTGAAAAAATAAACAGGCCTTTGTGACTTATATTTAAAGAGGTGTTCTTACACTTACACTACTGTTCAAAAGTTTGGGGTCGGTAAGATTTTGTAAAGTGAAATAAGTCTCTTGCTGACTGAGGCTGCATTTATTTCATTCAAATACAGTAAAAACCGTTATTGAAATTGAATTGCCATTTAAAATATCTGTTTTCCATTTTAACATATTTTGAAATGTAATTGATTCCTGTGCTGATTTTTAGCAGCCATTACTCCAGTCTTCGGTGTCACATGATTGTTCAGTAATATTTCTAATATGCTGATTCAGTGTTCAAGAAGAATTTCTTATTTTTGTTGACAACCTATGTGCTTCATAATATATTTTTTGGAACCCTTTTTAGGATTCTTTGATGAATAGAATAGAAAATAACAGATTTTTTTGTAACAACATAAAAAAAAAACTTACCCCAATCTTTTGAATGGTGTTTAAAAAAAAATTTTTTTAGAGAAAGCGTTCCTTTCTGATATATAGACATAAAAAAATATTAGAGCTAGAATTTTAATTAAGAATCTTTAAATACAGTTGAAGCTTTGGTTTTCTTGAATTTAATTTTCACTAGTATCTGTGTGGTTGCTTAACTACTGTTATCAGCTTGCCTGGTACTACATGAAATAATCAGAGGTTTTCTGTGTCCATCACAGTTTGTTCTGCTCTAACCATTCACTTTTATGATCACAGCGCATCCCATATCTTCAATACAGGCTTGGCTGAATTTATCTTGGTGTGTTGACAAATTAATTGCATGTCTATTCTGTTTTTGTTTCATCTTTAGGAATTGAGAGATGGTGAGGAGGTGCTTGCCCGATGGACAGATTGCCGCTACTACCCTGCCAAGATTGAAAGTATCAACAAGGAAGGTAAGGTCATCTTTCTGACCCTTCTGGGCAGAAACATACTTCTTCTGTCAGTATGCAATACAAAAAGGTGTTAAATTTGAATGGTTTTCAAATGCATAGGGAAAAGTGTTCTCAAATGCTATTTTGAAAAGCATAGGATTTAACTGAATGCCTACACAGTAATGCCTTCATACAATAATGTTTGTTTGAATCAAATCGAAAGACTCAGATATATAAAAAGGCACTGATTTGCTGTTATTATTTCGTACTTTAGGCACTTACACTGTACAGTTTTATGATGGAGTCATTCGCTGTGTGAAAAGAATCCATATCAAGTCCATGCCAGAAGATGCAAAAGGACAAGTAAGTTTATTAAAGTGATTTCACAGAGAGTCCTCATCAGTTCTGTTTAATTAACAAATAGGTTCTCCTGAAGTTTAATAGATGGTTTTGGACATGCGTTGCTACACTGCTAGATAACTGTTGTATGACCTATGACAATCAATTCTAAGCATGATGCTTTGTAGTTCATATATTTCAGTGTGGCCATCTATAGCATTGTCCTTGACCTCTTCCTCTCTTTCAGAAGGTAAAATGCATGATGTCAATCGTGAATAATATTTGAAGACAAGCAGCTGGTCTACACAGCTTACAGTGCATCTTTGTGCCAGTCAGGCAGCTCAGGGATGCCAAATCACTTTATTCTACCTCCTCAGTTACCTTTACTACATTATTAATGCTTAAAAAGCTTCTTTAATTTTAATTTAATGTTTTTATTACGTTTGCCATGGCAAGAAGTGTATTTGTGACCTGACCATGTCAGATGTGACTGATAGTGTATTGGTTTGTGTTCAAGCAGGACTGGATCGCTCTGGTGAAGGCTGCCTCAGCTGCAGCCAAGAATAAAGGAGTGAACAGACCACGTACCAGTGCCAACAGCAACAAGGACCGAGAGGACAGGAGAGAACAACGTTCAGATGAAGAGCTTGAGGATGACGATGACGATGATGATGATAGTGAATCAGAGAAACTTGGTATGTGATTTGTTAGGACTTGTCTTGCCTAATGAATTGTAGTTTCTAGACATTTTATGGTGAAGTTCTTGCCTACTGCTCTGTGTTCACTTACATATCTTTCATAAACCTTTTTCATTTGGTTGGAGCCTGATCTTAAATCAACACTTCATTCATTTTGAGCAGCAACATCAACTGTTATACAAAAAGATACACTTCAGAATCGATCATCCGTTTATTCGTCAACACCAAAACGTTACACCACACCGTTCGTGCTCGAACAACCACACCACCGCACTTCCGGGAACTTCATAATATGAGTCCCATTTTTATTCCCGGTAAAACGTCATGTGAAATATTAAACAATATTCAGCACAGAGGTATAATGTGCATGAACACATTTTTTAATGTCTTAAACTTAACATGTCTTAAACTTAACAAACTCCCACTCTTTAAAAAAAAAAAAAAAAAAAAAAATAATAATAATAATCTTTCAATTCAGTATACTAACAGGACATAGGCCTACTGAACAACAACCTCCTTGAACAAAAATACAACCTAGTATATTTTAACAAGCTCTCGAGCACAACTCTTAGACAGACTGTTTTAATTCAGTTTCCATTGTCCTTCACTCAGTGCTTTGAGTAACTGACAAGCTGATGCCCCCTTCTTGGTAAGGCAGTCCGCAAGTTGTTCTTTTGTGTTGTACCACAGTACTCGCTCAACTCTCTGTGTCTGGACAAGTTCTTTGATACTACTTATCTCCAGGCGGAGTCTTTTCTCAGAGACTGACTTTGTGGACTTAAGTGCATCAGCAAGCGAATGATTGTCTGTGACACAGATTATTGGTGGAGCATGTTCAGCATCACCAGTAGTTAGTTCTGAGAACAGTGTGGACAGAAAGATAGAATTGTCAATTCCATCAGACATCGCCAATGTTTCACCAGCAAGTGTGCTCCGCACAATCCTTTTGACTCTCTTTGATTGCCATGACAGTGGTGAGAATTTTCCATTTTCTCCCATTAGAAGAATCAGGTGCCCTCCTTGGGTACCTCCATCTGAAAGATTTCCAAACGAAGCATCACTGAACACAATTATCTTAAGAGCACTGTCTCTCCCCAAGTGTTGGAAGTTTAGAATGACCTTCTTGGACTTAAGTTTGCACACTATCCGGTTTGCTTCATGGATTGTCTGCACAGTTGCATTTTTTATGTTTGATGTCAAATTGCTAGCATCAAATATGACATCTGGCCTGCTCTGCCTTGCCACCCAGAGAATTTGGCCTATTTTGGACCTGAGCTGATCCTTTTCCTCCTCACAGAGAGATGAGTCTTGTTCCACAGCTCGTGAAGGATCCATATGTATGGGCTGCATGTGTTGAATGTAGTTTTCCTGGTGAATTTGTACTTTTCCGTCAACAGTCACAAAATCTATTCCCACATAACAGAAGTGATCATGTTCCTCACGTCCAACTTGAAAAACAGATCGAAGGTGTGGTATCACAGTTGTGGAGAAACTTTGCGTGCCCCCCCATATGAAGTCATCCACATGACAGGCAAGCACCCCAGTTACAGTGCAGTCCTGATCTAGCCAATAAAAAACAGCTGGATCAACCTTGGACATTTTTCCTCCTGCTTTCAGTACTATGTCTTTCACTCTATTGTACCAGTACAATGAAGCATCTGCCAAACCATATACACACTTTTTGAGCTTCCATAATGCTCCCTCACAGTTAGCCTCAGGGGGAGGCCTGATGTAGATGTCACGTGACAGTTCTATTCCCTGCAGAAATGCAGATTTTATATCCATGGAATGAAGTGTCCACTGTCTTTGACAAATAACTGCCACCAGCAGTCGAAGAGACTCTGAAGCACATGTGGGTGAATCCTTTTGTAGCTCTAACACATTTAACTCCTCAAAACCTCTGGCCACCAACCGTGCTTTCGGTACTAGTCCAGTTAGTGTTTCCTTGAGGGTGCACACCCATCTGGTTGAGATGCACTTTTGTCCCTCATCCTGAACTTCCTCAAACACACTGTTATCTCTCCAACTCTTCATCTCATCTTGTTTGGCTTGGTCAAAGGATAGATCTTTTGTTACCAATACGTCCTCACTAACATTAGTGACACTAACATCAGTAACAGCAGGTTCTATTTGAAGACACTCTAAACATGATATGTCAACTGAATCTTTACTGCCTGCAACATTTGTGGGTTCTATGAGCAGAAGATTGTACCAGTTTTTATATTTGCCAGTAGCTTTGCCTGCACGTCCTAATACTTTTGCTGTGTGCAAAGACCCACTGTCTCTGTCTCTGTATTTTAGAACTTGCCCTGTTTTTAGACGGACATCAGTTCCCTGCTCTGTATCACTTTGTGTCCCCATGTCGTCACTTGTGTGTTGTGCTGCTACATTCTGCTCCATAGTGGATGCCCCTGTGTGCTCAATTTGCACCGAACTCTGCTGCATTTCGCTTACAGTTTCTGTTCCCTCTGTGTTGTTGACAGCATCTCCTGTCATCTCCTGTCTATGCACATTGTTTGTGTCAATTTCAGCATCATCCTTATCGACATGTTGATCTCTGCTGTCTGTGTTTACTTTTCTTAGTCTGAGGTAGTGTACCCTAATGCAGGTTCCTCCATGTCTGACAAACACCACTGCACCATCCTGGCCAATGACAACTCCTGGTCCTTTCCACTTTGGACAATCAACTCTCTTGTAGTACACTTTGTCACCCATTTTATATGCTTCATCTGTGTTACGCAGTTGTTTACGCAGTGCTCTCCGTATTCTTTCTGAGCATTCTGCTTCAGTGAACGCCTTTCTTGATGCATGTAAAGCAGAGATGTGTTTTGCCACCCACTCACTTTTCGTGGTGCCCTCTAAAGCTGGGGGCTTGTCGGTTAAAACAGAGGGCAGGTTGGGATTCTGTCCAAACACCAACTGATGAGAACTGTAGCCATGGACATTTTGCATGGTGTTCTTTGCCATAAGAGCCCAGTCCAATGCAGTGTCCCAGTCACAGCCGTTACTCGTCTTCACTTTCATTATAATCTCTGTAAGTGTTTGGTTGTGTCGCTCTATAAGTCCATTGCTCCACGGGCTGTATGCTGCTGTTGTCTTTATTTCTATGTTGAAGTTTTCTGCCATGTCTCTAACCTCATCATTGTTAAATTCTCCCCCATTGTCACTAAACAGTTTCTGAGGTGGACCATGTACACTTATCCAGACATGGACAAAGTGTTTCACTATTTCAGAAGACCTTTTCGTGGTCAGTATGCTGCCTGCACTAAACCTTGTGAACTGGTCAATGATGTGGAGATACCACACACCTGGTTCAAGTTCATGCAGATCTACTGCAACAGTTTCATTGTACTGAGTTGCCAGTGGTAGGCCAACAGCAGGCTTTGGTTTGGTCTTACTGTATCTTTGACACGTTTCACATTCACTCACAATTTTTTCCAGAATGACACTACATTCTGCATCTTTATTGCCTGAGCTGGTAAGAAGTCTCTGCAGTCTATCAGCAGAAGCATGACCAAATTGTCTGTGAAGCTTCATCAGGATTTTGTGTTTTTCTGCTGAGCTAATTTTTTCTGAGATTGTCAGTATTTCCTCATCACACTGACTTTGTACATCCTCATTCTTTTGTTCCGTTAGTGAGACATCTTCAACAGCTACCAAGACACAGTCATCACCTTGAATGTTTCTCTTTTCATTGTCCATAATGTTTACGCAGTAATGACCAGAGCTTGTAAAGTCAAGTTTTACAGGTTGACTGAACATCACCGCACTGTCATTCTCCATATCCAGCACTGTCCCAGCTCTTTTCATGGATGCCTTGCTCAAGAGTAGTGGAATCTTCGCTGGCACAACTTCAGTTTCAATATGACACTTAGTTTGTCCAATCTTTGCAGGAATTTTCAACTTTCTGTTGGAATAGACCACTTTTCCATCACCAAACTTAAAGGGTCTGTGACTGTGTGTTTCTGTCTTCCTCAGGTCTTTTATCTCGTTTTGGCTTAGTTCAGCGATGTAGCTATTTATCCATTCCTGTCCACACACAGTCCGTGTGCATGCAGTGTCTATTATTGCTGAGCCGAAACACTCTGTCATAAATATTTCTGCTTCAGTGGGCGACTCTTTTGTATACAGAGTAATGTTGCACTCCTCTATATCATCTATTTTACAATCTTCAGTCAGTTTGACTTGCTCACCTCTGTGTGGACAGTCTTTGGCCCAGTGGAACGTGCTTTGACAAACAGCACATTTTGATCTGCGTCCATACCTGTCCAGAGGGTTAGTACCAGGCAGTGGTGTCTTTTGCTGAACATTTTGCGACCATGGCTTGCTCCTTTGTCGTCTTTGTTCCGTTACATATGCTGTTTCCTGATTAATCCCCACTGTAGAAGCAGACTTTCCTCCGAAAATCCTCTTCAGTGCTGACTTCATTAAAGCAAAATTCAAATCTGTACATGCTGTCAGAGCTAACTGTCGGTCTTTCACTTCTAAGCACGCGGTGTCGAGCAGTTTGAATGCTAACACTGCATCGGGAAGCTCCATCTTATATTTACGCATCCGCGAGTACCGCTGTTCAAAATCAATTATATAGTCTGTCATGGAAACAGCGCTATCTTTCATAATCCGGTCAAAACTCGAGTACGCCTCATAAACTTGGTCCTTTTCTTCTTTGAGAAACAAATCATCGAGTTTCACAAGTAAAGTGTCCATGCCAGTGTCCTTATTCAAATCATCTACCGGTATTTCCATTGCCGTTTCTCTCGCTCTTCCCGACAGCGCCAAAGCCACAGCAAGTGCCTGTTTCTTTTTTTCGAGCTCCGTAACCCTGGTCCAAATTGCGACTTCATTCTTCCAACTTTCATATGGTTTTCCTTCATCAAATGTTGGTGGTACTCTGTAGTTGCTAACCATCCTCTGCTACCAATGTTATACAAAAAGATACACTTCAGAATCGATCATCCGTTTATTCGTCAACACCAAAACGTTACACCACACCGTTCGTGCTCGAACAACCACACCACCGCACTTCCGGGAACTTCATAATATGAGTCCCATTTTTATTCCCGGTAAAACGTCATGTGAAATATTAAACAATATTCAGCACAGAGGTATAATGTGCATGAACACATTTTTTAATGTCTTAAACTTAACATGTCTTAAACTTAACACAACCATATGTCTATTTCCTTGTTTACACAGCAGACCTAGACTCAGAAGAGGAGGACAGTAAGCCAGCTATTGAGGAGGACAATAAGCCGGCTATTGAGGAGGACAGTAAGCCAGTTATTGAGGAGGACAGTAAGCCGGCTATTGAGGAGGACAGTAAGCCGGCTATTAAGGAGGACAGTAAGCCGGCTATTGAGGAGGACAGTAAGCCGGTTGTTGAGGAGCTTGAATCAGCTACAGCAAAGAGGAGGAGCAAAAGACAAGGCAACTCGTGTAGCAGTAAAAGGACTCGTCTCAGCAAAGGGACAGGTAAACATTAGCAGAGAGTAACTTCCCACAACAAGGCTTAGTTTCTACTAGTTTATGACAAGAAATAGTTTCTAGCTAATATCTTACCATGCAGTCAACCTACACGCGTGCAAATGTGTAATCGCTGGCACTTGTGCAAAAGCGTGAGAGGTGTATGTATTTCATTTAAAGTACCTTGCACCTGCATACAGATCTACATTTTGAGCTAAGCATTCCTCATAGTAACACAGCTTGTTTAAGTTAGTAGCTATAAATACTATTAAAGTGTGATGATAAACTGCGCAAGTCAACAAAAGTGTGCTGATCAAGCATGTATCACACAAGTTAAGTTAATTTGACTGACAGCTTACAGTTTGTTCTGCTGTTTTTGCTGTGCTTGGCTTTGAGAAAAAAGTTGATGCTACAATCATGGCTTCTATATTTCCTAAATAAACTGTGATACTGATTAAGATGTTTTAAGTGTGCTTTTCGTTTCTAATCATCAAGGATGTGCTGACACTGAGTCTGAATGCAAAGCAGAGTCAAAAGAGTTTCCAGTAACATCACAGCAGGTATAGATGAAACTGACATACTGTTATCAACACGATGATCACTTTAGTACACACTGTGTCATGTTTACTTCTCCACCCCTCAGAAAGTGTCAGGTGCAGAGGCTAGTCCAGTTGAAGAGAAATCCCAGTCTGTCAGTGCCCAAAGAACCCCAGCATCCCTCTCTAGCCCATCCCTGTGCAAGTCTCGCTCAAGAAGACTTAAACACGACTCGGGAGAGTCCACCTCTAGCAGTCAGAACACAACCGCAGCCCCCGAACCCAGTCCTTCATCCATTTCGACACACACCCTTCCAGACAGCACACACACTGGTGGGTCAGCCAGAGAGCAGTAGTAATGTTTATATGTTCTACTGTCAGCAATTATAACAGACTTGATGATGATAATAATATGCATGTCTGTTTCTGCATAGCCCCTCCCAACTCCCCCCAGAGAAGGAGACGGTCTCAGCGTCTAGCGACAAGCTCTGACCAGGCTTACCCCTCTTCACCACACATGAGGGATTCCTTCATTCAACCTCCTCCCCCAGATGGCTCTCAGAAACCTGGTGAGAGACGCAAACTATGCAGAGCTTATGGCATAATAAAGCACTAAAAATACAGTGTTCAAAACTTTGGGGTCGGTAAGATTTTTCAAATGTTTTTGAAAGGAGTGTCTATTTAAAAAGGAGATTTATTTAAAAAAAAAAAATAATGTTTTAAAATGTAATTGATTTTTGGGATGGCAAAGCTGAATTTTCAGCATCATTACTCCAGGTTTAAGTGTCACGTGATCCTTCAGAAATCATTCTAATATTCTGATTTGGTGTTAAAACAGTTGTGCTGCTTAATTTTTTTGTGGAAACTGATAATTTTTTTTAATCAGGTTTCTTTCATGTTCATTATAAATGTCCTTACTGTCACTTTTGATCAATTTAATAGGATTATATAAATCATATCAATAAATCATACTGACCCCAAACTTTTGAGCATTTTTTTAAACATGCTGTTTTTCAATTGTGCCACTCTAGAATTGTCTGTTATGAAATTTCATAATTATCTATGATTGACCTGTGTAAATCTTGCATTTTAAAGCACTCTCTTTTGAAGAAGACAGCAGCACTGCAGTTAAAACAGAAGCTTCTTCACAAAAGCCAGTTTCAGGAAGCCCATCCACAGCTCCTCCCACTGGCAGTGTTCAGTCACCAATCACTGAGAAGGACAAGATGACAGACATGTTGCCCAATAATCAAACAACACTTGAAGAGAACTCACCTTCTGTAGTGACAGGTAGGTTGGCCATGTAACCAAAGCATTGAATGTCTTTATTATGTTTCTCCATGAAGCTTTTAAAGGACACTTGGTTTTGAGGATATAGTAAACCGCAAAGTGACTAACCAGGATATTTAGAAAATATCAACAGTAGATTTTAAATTGTGTAATGCTACTTGGACTTTGTGATATTTAAAAACTATTCATTATCTTCTCATTTTATGTCTAGCTGCAAGTCAGAAAGTTCCTTACAGGACTCCTAAAGCCAACAAACATGCCAGAGAGCCAAGTATGAATCATCACCTGTCTCCCACTCACTTCATTCAGATACTTTCTATCTAGTGTCTGTATGTATGTAATACAAATTAAAAAAAAAAAAGTTTTTATCTAACTTTCTCCTTCCTCCTAAGTTATAAACAGCAAGAAGTCTGATGACCCCACTGCTCCCAATGAGTCTCTAATAGACCTGGACCATAATAAATTCAAATGTAAAGTCCCTGGATGCTCTAAAGCATTCCGGAAAGCAAAGCTGCTGGACTATCACCTGAAGTACTATCATAACACTGAGAAAGAAATGGATAGCGAGGTCTGCTCACCAGACAGGGTGGGCCGCACCAGGGCCACATCTGCTTCCATGCCTACAAGCACCTTGTCAGATATCCCAGATAACAAGAGACGCAGGACCGTCTCTACTTCTTCCTGTAAGTTCATCAATCAAATGGCTATTACATTTACAGTTACACAATCAAACTGAATTAATGAGAGTTCTGTTCTTTTATTTTGTGTCCTAGCTCTATCCTCTCAGGGCTTCATGCTTCAAATGGACAGCGCTGGCTGTGTGAGGCCTCCTAAGTTCTGTAAGAAGAAACGTTCCTCCGCCTCTGTCAGTTCAGACAGTACGGAGGTCTCCCTGCCTCCTCCAACCTTTGATAACCTCCATGACAAGATTCTCAAGAAGGACAAGCACCTAGATGGTGAGCTAATTCAGCAGATTTTAAAGTTCATGAATGGAGTTCTTCCTTTATTCCATTTTCTTTAACTGTGCATCTTATGGATGTTTTTTTTCTTCTTCAGGGCTTTGTATAAAGACAGAACGGAAATTCAAACTGGAGGATAAATGTCAATTGTTTGGTGAGTTTATTTTTATTTTTATTTTTTATTTTTTTCAATTTCACATTTATAAACCAGTCCTCATATCTCTTATTTCGTTCTCTGCTGTAGCGAAAAAGAGGGATAAAGACAGGAGGGACAGGAAAGATAAGGACCTTTTCCGAATTAAACAGAAGAAAAAGAAAAAAAAGAAGAAGAAATCAAAACTGCACTGTAAGTTAAGTTTTGAGTTTGCCTCAGGTTCAGAGATCTATGTACTTACAAGTTTTACAAATAATATAACTTTTAAATTAAATTGACTTTTATAATTCATTAATTTGTGACTTTAATTTGTCTTAAATTGCCTCATTAGTTCTAGCCATCTTGTTCAGTCCATAACGAGTCGCCGTTATGAAATGAGAGGGTCATATTGTTCTCATCTTTCTGCTAAGGTTACGCAGACCTGGATGAGATGTCATTGTCTTACTTGGAAAGACCGTCTTCCCCACTACATCGTTCTTCTTCTAGTGCCTTCAAGCACAGCACCTTCCAATACCCTCGTGCCATACTGTCTGTTGACCTCACCGGGGAGAGTAAGTCCTCTTACCGATTTGCAGCCATTTGTAGCCACTTTCCAATAATGGCCTCATTTCAGTTATAGCTTTCAGCTATTACATTTTTTTTGTGTTCTGTAATTAAAATAGATTGTATTCAACATGAATATGATATCAGTGTTGTACTGGGATGTTGAGGCTTATTTCATGTCCTAATTCTTTTTCCTATTTCAGACCTGTCAGACATCGACTTCCTGGAAGATTCAACCACTGAGAGTTTGCTGTTCAGTGGAGATGAGTATAACCAGGATCTAGACTCGATCACTATGGAGGACTTCCAGGATGAGGATGAAGTTGGTGCAGATGAAATTGTTCGCTGCATCTGTGAGATGGATGAAGAAAACGGCTTCATGATTCAGGTAGGATTACTTTTAGCAATGGCTCTTCAATAAGTTTTATTCTGTCTCTAACAACAGTTTCATGCAAGAGACCTCTTAAGTGTGCTGAAATGGTTCTGCGTGGCTTTTTGTTGTGTTTGTTCTGAATCTGTTGTAGTTATATAATAGTATATAATGCACATAATGCACATAATAGTTTCTGGTAATAGGTATATTTTTCTCTGTACAGTGTGAGGAGTGTATGTGCTGGCAGCACAGTGTGTGTATGGGGCTTTTGGAAGATAGCATACCCGATCAATACATCTGTTACATCTGTCGGGACCCACCAGGTAACAACCATGCAACAAAACCACACACAAAGGGTCAGCAGGATGTTATAGTTTTATACTCTACTATAGTAACTAACTACAGTTATATAGTTTTGTATTCTGCTTACTACAGATGTCTAATGTCTGTTTCTTGAATGTTAATGTAAATACTAGGGCTGGGTTAAAAATATATTAAAAAAAATATTAAAAATACAATATCTCAATTTTAATCTATTCTCATGATGCCATTTTGAATTTTCCAAAAAACCTACTTTGTCGAACTCCACCAAGGCCGTTGCTCCGATTTTCATGAAAATTAAACCAGATCATCCACAGACCATGCCGACAAAAAGTTCTGGAATTCAAGTTGATAGTTCTCGAATAATGCACAAACTAATTAGACGAAGTGCCTGCCAAAATGAATGTGAGGCTATATCTCCGCAACGCTTTAGCGCATTCTGACCAAAATTGGTGTGTTATGACATGCATGACCTGAGGCTACCTTCACAGTATTGGCACAGTGCCAGGAGCTATTTTGGGCGTCTGCCATTTAGGCTTGCCGCGATAGACTGTGTTGACGGTGTTACCGGTTTTAAGCCCCATCACCGGTGACATCACTTTCCCACCGTGACACCGCGATGTCTTGACTTTTTTAAAGTATTCGTTTTTGCTAAAATATTTATTTGAATTAATTAAAAATAATAATTATCAATTATTTAGTTCAGAAGAGAGCATACATTATATTTAAAAACTGAACTGCGCAGTGCGTGCCAAGAGCCAGTCACGTCACAGATCAGCAAGCATCAGGATTCCATTTAGCACGTGTGGAGATGAGAACGAGTCAAATTACAGAAAAGCAAGATAATGGCGGAATGTGTAATTTATTTAGGCCTGTTTTATTTTCTTATTCGTTAATAAACGTTTTATGGTTCTTATTTGTTTGGGCCCACAGTTTGACGATTTTCAGCCTATGCATGGGGTTATTTTTATTCGTTCGTTATGCTAATAAAAGTTCTGTCTATAAATAAAAGTTTTATTATCAGCGAGCCGAGTTGTTGTTTTTTTGTCCATTCAAGCAATTGACGCTGAATTGCCAATTGACGCTTATTTCGAAAGTGAAAGTATAACGCGCACGCATTTAAAAGCTATTTAACCCCCTCCCCCCCCCAACCCCCCCGCATCCCCTCCCCCCACGGTGACACCAGCATTATCGGTGTTGTGACACGTCGATTAACCGGTGGGAAATTTTCCTCACTGCGGCAACCCTACTGCCATTTTGGATTTTGTCAAAAAATGCTATATTTTACAAACGCATTGGCATATCGTTACGAAACTCAGTATGTGTCTTCGGTACCATGTCCTGACAGTACTAAAAAAATTTCGAAAATGAAATTTCCAAAAATGCTAATAAATTGATTAAATTAGCCTATTGTAATGAAACTCAACTCAGCAGATTCTTAGTGCCGAGTACATAGATACCAATTTAGCCATAGTTGGCCTAACTTTCTGTCCGCCATTGTTTTTCTTTAAAAACATACTTTTTTTAACTCCTCTTAGAACGTTTGTCTGATTTTCACCAAATCCAAGTCAGATCATCTTCAGACTGTGCCGTCAAAAAGTTATGGATTTCTTGTCGATAGGTGAAATCGTTTTCATATACCACATCAACAAAGTTGAGGCATGGTGCCAAAAATGACTAATGCTGTATCTCTTCTCTGCAATGCTTTGGCGCATTAAAACCAAACTTTGTATGCATCATTGTCACCCTACTCTGACCACACCACATCAAATTCGTAACAGCGCCACCTATTGATTGAAAGTGATAAACCTTTAAATCACATTACTAGTGATTGTATTTGATTTTCAGACATTTTGCCTAAAATCATCTTATAGCCTTTTAATTGCTCGTTGTTGCAGCTGATCTGATGCTCCCAGGTATGCAGTCATGACTTGACGTGTCTGCTTTGTGCTTGGCCTCTTAATTGCGGAATGCAGCTATATTTTGAATATCGATTTTGTTATCGATTCTTAAATCACAAGCATCAGTCCTTTGGTCTATCTATGCAAAATTTTGTAGCATGCCTCCCATACAATAACTTGCAATAAGCTTTGTTACTGTCAGCTTTCAAAATCTGTCAATTTTAATATGAAATTCAAGCAGTAAATACCAATTTGGTGCTCTTTAATGTGGCATGCCAGAACACAGATGTTTATCCAAAGGAATCAATATTGAATCGATTTGAATTGAAAGCTTGAGCTTCTAAATCCAATCGAATCGTAAAAGTTGTCAATACCCAGCCCTAGGAAATATAAAACTGAAGTCACTCCAGAGTTGTCACTGAAATGTTTACTTTTCTCAGGTCAGAGGTGGAGTGCTAAATACCGTCATGATAAAGACTGGCTCCAAAAGGGCCACATGTATGGCCTGTCCTTCCTCTCAGAAAACTACTCGCATCAGAACGCCAAGAAAATTGTGTCCACTCACCAGCTGCTGGCTGATGTTTACAGTGTTAAAAACTTGCTTAATGGCCTTCAGCTGAAGATGGATATATTACAGTAAGAGCCTCTTTGCCTTCCCAGAAGCCTACCAACATCTTTAATTTAGGAGAAATTGTGGAAATAAACTACCACAATAGTGTTTAATTACCATAATAATTATCAAAAGGAATTGCTTGAAAAGATGGATTGGTTGTGCTTTGAAGTTTATGGCCTGGTTTCACAGACAGGGTTACTTGTAAGTTACTTTCAGTAACAGCTCAAACAGGGATTTTAGTCTGGGACTAGCTTAAGCCTTGTCTGTGAAACCGGAAGAGAAAAGTTTACATTTTTTAGGCATGTTTTTCCAGTGCTGTCAGGCTTTAAATTGATCTGATATACAACTGTAGAAGAAAAGATGTGGGAACAATAATATGCTTATCACATTTTTTTCAGGAACAAGCATAACCCAAGTTTGCACTTGTGGGCTCGGTCTTGGGTGAACTCTGATGAGGACCAGCCTATGGGTGGGGTTCCGGACTGCCTACATTTCAAAGAGCACCTCAACCAGAACTCAAACCCTGAAACTTATATTACCAGCGAGCACAGCTACCAGAAACCTCCCGGTACAGGCCTCGAGCACGCAAGGGATGAACAGGGGATACATACAGCCGCTCAGTTTAACCTAAAGGAAGAAGAGGTAACCAAAGAGCATTAAAAACTCAGATCTGGTTCAAGGTAGGTGAAAGGATACAGAGTTTGAAATCAATGCTGTGTTTATGGTTTGTGTAGGTGAACAGTGCCATTGCTCTGTCCGGCTGTGTGAATGAAAGCAGCCTGGGCTCCATGGAACAGGCCAGGAACTGCCTGCAGTGGCAGATGAACCTGCTTACACACATAGAGGACATTCAGAACCAGCTGTCTGGCCGCATGGACCTCATTGAGAAAGAGCTTGATGGTAAGGGTGAGAAATATGGGAAATGTAGGCATTTCCCATATTTGGTGCAATATTTGTCAACACATGATCAGGGTTGGTTGAATTTGGTTCTGCGGTGTCGGCGTAGATTGCCACCGTGAGCTTATTTAGCTTATATATTTGGGTCTTAAGTTTCGGGCTCATGAGTACAGTAGTGATGGGTGATGATTCAGCCTTTGTGAAGATTTAACCAGCAACCTTTTGATTACCTTGAGTCCTAACCACTAAACTACTATCAATGACAATGGCATTACCTCAGAAAGCCTGCATGTTTAAAGGGGTCATATAATGCTATTTTCAATAAGTTCATTATTTTATTTATTGGAGTGATGCACCAATATGTTTTTTATTTATTTAATTTTTTTATTTAATTTTTTTACAGACAAATTGGCCAGTTCCAAACCGGTAGCCATTTTTTTTTCTTTGCTCTATAACAGGCAAACTGGCCTTAAACAAAAAAAAAAAATCTTATCCATTTGAAATTAGAGGCAACCACTGCATTTGAATTAACTTTTCTGAAGACAGTCAGTTATCTTTAGAGACATTCATATAAATCCCCAGCCCCAATTTGAATATTTATGTTTTTCTTCCTATATTCCGAGCGTTGCGAACAGTGAGCTTGCTGTGCCTGGTGCAGTATTTGCTCTGCTGTGTTCTCTTCTTTGCGTCCATCTTTAGCATGACCCGTCTCCTACTGGTTGTTAGCAGTCTTTGTAATATGGCTGGCATTGTACTCTCATAGTACACTTCTCTGTAAAATTTGTACAGAGAAATCTTTCTTTGCACAAGAAAACTTTTGGGTTGTAGCCTATTGCTCAGGAACAGGTTTATAAATAAATCGTCACCTCTGATTCCTAATTTCATCCATTTTCAGAAGGCCAAACAAAGCGGTTTTCTAACACAGTGTCTCCGCGACATGACGACAACAGTCAAATTCACTGAAGTGTCACCTTCTTTCTTTGTATATGCCTTTGGCTGGGCATTATGCTAATATTTCACATTTTGACACAGCCGTTTGAGGATGTAATATCTGGACTTTGATCTGGAGCAGTGTTTTCTGTTAGATAGAATAAAATCCCTTTGTAGGAGACTAAGCGTTGTAACTTTTTTCCAGATCATATACATGCACAAATAGATACATTACACACTAAAAGCAAAAGAAAACATTACAAAGCATCATATGACCCTTTTAACTGCTCTGAGGACTAGAGGTTGACCAATTCATCATTTTTGCCACTTTCAACATGAATAACAGTTTCTGTAATTTTTTTTTTTCACCCATAGGTTATTTTAGCCTTATTTATAGTTGAAAGTCCCAAGTTTGCACTGAATTTGTTTTTTTATTTCCTTTGTTTTGGGGTGTTTTTTTTATTTTAATTTTAGTTGTACAATAAACTGCACCTGTTATTTCATGCCTGGGCCACCTGCTCACAATAATGAAAGACTAAGGAAATTGAATATATTCGTTTTTAAACGTCATTTACAAAATCTAATCTAAAACATTAATTTTCAAAAGAATTGTTTTTGATATTTTGTTAAGGTTTCATTATCTTTCTCCCTTTCTGTGTGAAGTGCTGGAGAGTTGGTTGGACTTCACAGGTGAATTGGAGCCCCCTGATCCCCTCGCCAGACTCCCACAACTTAAGTGCCGCATCAAACAGCTTCTGACGGACCTGGGAAAAGTGCAGCAGATGAGCACCCTCTGCTCTGTGTGATGCACACATTTATAGTGTGTGTTTTGAGCTAACACCATAACCGTTTCTTCGCACACAACTCTACTACTGAAGAAGGTGTATTCAACACTGTTCAGTAGGTGCCCACTCTGTGAAGTAAATCGTTGGCCATCTTCAAGTGTAAGATAAGGAAAATTCACACTTAATGTGTGAAACAGGAACATGTCAGTGTATTCGTGCTGAGTCTAAACCACATATCTGCTTAAAGATGTTGTTCTCAAAAATAGGAAGAGATCACTATAGCAGAATAATTCTTTCACATGTTAACAGAAGGGAACGTTATCTTAAAAAAAACTGAAGAGGTCACAACACCACACACAGATTTAAGTTTTAGCCTTTTTTGCATCAGTTAGACCCCAAAAGTAAATTTTAACTATTTCCACTCTGTGAGGTGAGATTTCTTAAGGAAATATGAACTTGACTTAAGTGGGTCACTGATAGCATACTGTTTAAGAGTTCATTAGCGTTTGATGTAAAAAAAAAAAATCAGATCATAAAGGTTTTCGCCACTTAAAAAGTCACTTTGAAGTGCCAAGAAAACAGACCACTGTGATCTGGTTGCTCAGAAACGCACAGTTCACGTTTTTGAAATTAATGTTGCATTTTAGGCCAGGATTGGGTTTAGCCGTCTGATACACTGGCACTAAAGGTTCACAATGCCAACAAATTCATTAGAACAACACCTAGATAGTTTTCTTACAACAACTCGTCTAATACTTTAGCATGTTTCTCTGCAGTTTTAATGGATGCTGTAGTGATTCACAAGAAAACAAGCTAATCGATACGTGGACGTCCAGAGATGGGTGACTTTTCTTACTAGGGCCCGTTTATCATGTTGATACTTTGAGAGTATCTACCGTAAAGTAAGCTAATCCTGAGATTGATGTAAATGCATATAATTAAATCCATTTAGTTCATTTTTTGTTTTGTTTTTGAAAAATGTAAAATACAGTTTTTATAACTGTAAAGAAAAACAACAAAAAACTAAGGCATAAAAGGATGATACTTGAAAATGCCTGTTTAATCTCAATTTCTATTAATCTGTACAAAGAGTGTTTTAGAACTTAGATTTAAAACTTGAAGTTTCTTTTGATGAAAATACCAGCTGTACATTTAAAGAGTTTATTTAAAGACCCGATGTAATTATCTGTATGTACAACTTCATTAAAAAAATATTCTCAACATTTTTTGTGTATCTTGATTCAAGATAAATTTACTCTGCCTTATATACCGTCTGTATCATGTGTGAATTTGAGTTCTCTTAACAGAAATGGCAAAAAGGAAGATTTATATATGTCATTTGCTTTGCTTCCACTAAGTATTTTCTTTTTTGTTGAAATATGAGGGCAACAACATAAGAGAAGTAACAACGCACAGCTCTTTTTAACTCTGTTGGAAGTGGTTTTCAGAAGACTGATGAAGCTGTTTCTCCTCAAAGAAGCACTCTCAAAAGTTCAAGCTTGGCTGCTCACCTTACAATGTCCAGAGTGTTCTTATTCACCACCAGCTACTTTAACCAGTTTGGAGAGGTTAGTGTTTTGATAGACAAATTTGTAAAACAACAGAATGCTGAACAGGTATGACAGTGCACATCTTGGTTCTGGTATAAAAGATGCTGCAGTTTCGTAGCATTCACTAGGAGAGTTCTTGCATCCTAGAGAAGATGCAGAACATGGAAGAGATGACGCTTTTTTGTCTAACTGCCACACTGCTTAGCACCTTCTCTCTGACATGTGGAAAGATTTCAGGTGAGCGTCTTTGTTCTAATCACAACATCACCTTTATGTTTACTGTCTGGGAGCTGTATTTTTATGGACTAGGAAATTCATCCACCTATTATTATTTATTGTTTTACCTTTAGAGTACCAGCTGGAGACAGAGAGTCTGAGTCAATGTGAGCAGCTCAGGTTTGTCAGTGCAGCTCAGGAACATGAGCACATCCCCCAGTGCTCTGAGGATGGCCGCTTCAGGTGCACTAACTGGACCGATGCTGTATATATCATCATATAAATGTACCATGGTATTTCCATGTTGTTTGTGAAAGTCTGAAAAAAAAATCCATTCTTATAGGCATGTTCAGTGTAATCATGGAGGTGGTGAATGTTGGTGCGTGAATGCAGAGGGACTTGAGATACCTGGGAGTCGACAAAATGGATCCACTGTTCATTGTAAGCTGCCTTTCTTCATACTTCAACTTGACAACCTGTCCTCTGTTTAAAAAAAAAAAAAAAGTGGCTTTACTTGCATTTGGGTTCCTTGAAAACCCCGATGTAAGACGTGAATAAATGTCAGTTGTTTATTTTGATTTTTCTATAATAAACACATTATTTGATTGAATGCCAGTCACATTTCTATGTTTACACTAGCGTTTGGTGTCAGTAAGAACTTTATTTATTTTTTGTTTTTTTTGCAAGATTGTTACATTGATTGATACTTTTATTAAGCAAGGATGCAGGACATTGATTTGAAAAAGTAAAGGCTTTTACATTTGTTACAAAAAAAAATTTTACTTGGAATAAATGCTGTTCTATTGAACTGTCTATTCATCAAAGAATCCCCCCCCCCCCCCCAAAAAAAAGCATTTCCACAACAATATTAAGCAGCACTTCTCAATATTTATTATAAGAAATGTTTCTTGAGCAGCAACTCAGCATACTAGAATGATTTCTGAAGGATCATGTGACACTGAAGAGTAATGATGCTGAAAATTCAGCTTTGCAATCACAGGAATATATGATATTTAAAAAATATATTAAAATAGAAAATAAATTGTAATACAATTTCACAATATTACAGTTTTTACTGTATTTTTGATCAAAGTAATGCAGCCTTGGTCAGCATAAGAGACTTCATTCTAAAACATTTAAATAATCCTTCTGACCCTAAACTTTTAAACTATAGTGTATTTGCTTGGTGTCTCTGGGAACCCAAACATAATCCTTGAGCAACCACTTAAGGTCACAAGTCAACAACAGAGATATGCTGTTAATATTAAGCATGATTAACAAGAGAACGTTTACATAAGGATTTAGTATAATCATAAGTTATGTGTCCATTGAATCATTTTAATTTCATTGAATGGACCACACTCTGTCCTCACTATAGGTTTGACCTCATGCCAGCTCCAGAGACAACAGGCACTGCAGACTGGAAACGCAACCCTGGTGCCAGTGTGTTTGGACTCAGGTGAGTACGAGCAGGTGCAGTGTGATGTGTCCCGTGGCCAGTGCTGGTGCATGGACCAAGAAGGCATGGAGATCTACGGAACCAGGCAAAATGGAAAACTCTTAAAGTGTGAGTTCACTTATTCAGTGTCACATTCATTTGATTCCCTAGATGCATTAGTTGAACAGTTTAGATGAGTCTCTAAATGAAAGATCAAGAGTTTTATCTGCTTATGTGTTTTCATAGCTATTTTAATCCTGACTCTTAAAATGCTGGATGATGCTTAAATGGATACTATTAGTGATCAGATGTAAAATGATTCTAAACTCTTGACCCTAGGTCCTGGTGTTTGTGAGGTGAGACAGCGGCGACTCCTTCATGGTTTCGGAGAACCCTCTCCCCCTCAGTGCTCAGATGATGGGAGCTTCTTACCTGTGCAGTGCAAGTTTGTCAACACCTCTGACAGGATGATCTTTGATCTGTTACACACCTTTAACAGGTGAGACATGCCTTTTCTTCAAACCTTACAGTACTGCTCAAAAGTTTGGGGTCGATAAGATTTTTTTTAAATTATTTTGAAAGAAGTCTTGTAAGCTCACCAAGGTTGCTTTTATTTGATCAAAAATACCATAAAACAGTAATATTGTGAAATATTATTACAATTTAAGGAGTGTTTTCTATTTTAATATATTTTGAAATGTAATTTATTCCTGTGTTGGCAAAGATGAATTTTCAGCATCATTACTCCAGTCTTCAGTGTCACATGATCCTTCAGAAATCATTCTAATATGCTGATTTGGTGCTCAAATTTTTCTTGTTATTATCAGTGTTGAAAACATTTGTGGTTCTTAATATTTTTGTGGAAACCATGATACATGTTAGGATTCTTTGCTGTATATAAAGGTCAAACAGCATATATACATATACTTTTTTTTAATCAATTTATTGCATCCTTGCTGAATAAATGTTTATTTCTTTAAAATTATAAATACAAATCTTACTGACCCCAAATTTTATTTAAATTGTATAAAGATTGAATAAAGATTCCCTTCTGAAAGCTCGTTTAGTGAAGGGCTAGACACTTGTATCTGGGAAACCAGCCCCAAGCATGCATGTTTTACCACTAGACAGCAGTATTGTGTCAGAGAGAGGAAGCATTTATAACTGTTTTCCTGTTTTCCCTTTTCCTAATTTTTCTGTTTTCTTTAGTTTAAAATGCATCTGCTCCAAGTGACTTATTTAGCTGAAGTTTCTTTTCATCAACAGAGACCCAGAAGTGTTCCAGACCTTTAGTGTTTTCAGAAAGGCCTACCCAGAGCTATCTAGTTATTGTTTCTGTGCAGACAGTCGTGGGAGAGAGATGCCAAGCACAGGTGATACACACCTCTTCTGTTACATTTCAGGTTACAGAACTGGGCCAAAAGTTCAAACCCAGCTAGGAGAGATCCATAAACTGTCTCCATTGTGACAGTGAACTCTGTTTGCTCCTGGGCAACTGTCCCTGAAATAAGTGAACCATAAATCAAATTGTATTAAAGTATCACCTAAATGTCAAGTGGTGCTATAATTTGTGTTGTCATTCAAGGATTATTTTGGCCTGATCAAGTTGTGACATTTTGTGTGCTGTATTATAAAGATGAATTGTTCTGATTTTGGTTTATCTAGGTGTGGAGCTGCTTTTGGATGAGGTGTACGACACAGCGTTTTCAGACCAGACTGCAGGAAGTGCATTTGCACAGTCAAACATGTATCGAATCCTACAGCGCCGCTACCTTGCTGTCCAGCTGGCCGTCAGCGGGAAATTTAGATGTATGCAACATTTTGTTGATAAACAAAACAACTATAATGATGGTCATACACTGTAAAAATCATTTTCTTTATCTGTTTTTTTTATTTATTTTTTTGCATTGTTTTCCAGTAAAAATATCTAAATATCATTAAAGATAAGCATTTTTGCTTCTCAGGTCAATTTAATTTGTTAGGTTTAAGTTTATTTTTCTTCATTTGCAAATAGTATTTTCTTGATTTAAACATAAACTTAATTACATGTTGTCATATTATGCTTTAAACAAGAACAATTTGCCCCCGCCCAAAACATTTTTTGCCATTATAAAATAAATGTTTTTTGCTGTGACTAATAAATATTAGTTTCATGTACATGTAAGCATATAATTTGAGGAAAAAAATACTGTAAACTTCAAACAAGAATAATTTGCACAAAATGAATCTACTTTTCTTGTGATAAAATAAAATAATAATTTTTTTGTGGAGACTAAATAAACATTAGTTTCATGTACATGCAAGCATAGAATATGAAAACAATAAAATAATACTATACAGGCAGTGCAGGAATAAAATTTACCTCTTAGCATTTCTAACACTTGCTACATCTGTATAATAGTACAGGTACTCAAACCAACAGTACCCAACTCTTTTTGTATTCATAAGGTCCCACCCCGTGCGAGAGTGAACGGGCCGCAGCTACTCAGGCTGGTAATTCCTTTGTACCCTCCTGTACTGATAATGGAGTGTATGTGCCAACCCAGTGTCAGTCCGGTGGCCAGTGCTGGTGTGTGGATGCTGATGGCAAAGAGATCTTTGGCACACGCCAGTATGGACTTCCAAAATGTAGTGAGTTTGGCCTTAATTGCATTTGTGTGTATTTCACGGTATATTCCATACTTATGTGACATGATGCCTCTTCAGCATCTCTGGTAACAGTAAATCTTGATTTTATCAATCAGTAACATTAATGAGTTGGTAGTCAAATAGTATATGTAAAAATACATCTGTAAACACATTGTGAACTACTCGAATTAATCCAATCTAGCAGTAGAAATTCATGCTTTAATTGTACATTTTATTCTATAATACTAGTGATCTTTAAGCTTATTTAAATGATTTTACCTGTTTTACTTGTTTTAAAAACTAATCTTTGAGTTCTGAGAGTTTATGGTTTAGCGATCCCTTAACATTTTTAAGTAGAATGGAGTTTGTGCACTGACTAATGTTGTGTT